ATAGGTGAAGAAATGGGACACTCGGAGAGACCCAGGGCCATGTTAAAATTTACACAGCTGATAAGTGGTAATTAAGGTCTTTGGGCTTTGTGTCCTCCATCTATTCATTCAACAGGTATTCATGGAGTCCCAGGATCAGTGTCAGGCTCACACTCTACACAGTGAATATGATGGATGCGATTTCTACATCCACAGTCAAATGCTCTTTCCCCAAGGCTTATGATGTGTCTACAATACAGGCATCAATTAAATAGTTGCTCTTGGTTTTATGCCCTGCAAAGGAGTTTAAATTAAGCTACAATACAGAGGCACATAATTATGCATGCATCTTTTAGTATCTTGAGAAATTATAGTTGGTGCCTCCTCTGTGCCTGTCCTCAGCCTCTTGGGGTCACTCCAGCATGGCACTGATGTGCTGTTTTGTAACTCTCTGGATAATTATCTGTCCCATGACTCAACCCAAGACTGTCAGCTCCCTAAGGACAAGAACTAGCCTTGGAGCAGCACTGAGTCAGTTGATTTTAATGGAATAAAAGGGTGCTTCTCATATCAGTGCAGCTGCCTTGGTTTTTCTTCATACTCAGATTGGCCCTGGTTTTTAGTGTCATGGAAAGTTTTTATTGCTTGGAGTTTTTTGAGTTTGTGTTTCCCCCCCTCCCCCACCCATGGTGGGTTTTCTGTTGAAGAGGTACATAAAGCTCAATGGAATCTGAAGGAAATAGCCAGGAATTAAAATGACTTCCACCAAACCACCAGTAACACTTATGTACAATTCCCAAGCCCTGAGCTCTAGGGAGATGGAAGGCAGAAGAGAAAAGTAAGCAAAAGTGTAGAGAAAAGAGAAGGAAATGAAGATGAAAGAGATAGTGGAATACAGTTCACAGCCATTCGGGCATGACAAAGCAAAATTAATTAAAAGTACCAAAAGGAGGAATTGTAAAATGCCATCTGTCCACACCTCTTTCCCACAAATCCAGAAGAAGGTCTGGCTGATTAGATAGACAGACAGGTAGATAGATGATAGAGAGAGAAAGAGAAAGAGAAAGAGAGAGAGAGAGAATATAGATATGTATATAGCAATAATAATTATTACATGTTATTTATTTACAAAATATATTATTATATATTATATGTATTAGAGAGAGAAACAGACACAGAGAAAGATCAAGAAATATTTATAAAAAATCAATGTGGAACCCTTTGAAATCTTTTATTAGAAGTAAACCTGATTCTAAAAACTCCTCTAACTCTACAAATGTAAAATCAGCCATGTTCAAAAAATCTATCAACCAGAAACATAGTTTTCACCTTTAAATAAAGCCACAACACTACTTTTGGTTGATTCAATTTTGCCCAAAGCAGAGTTTTCTTCACCATGAACATATTTCATTCATATTAATTCCAAATAGAGCAATTTTGAGATTGAAATAGCTTTCCAGCAAAGCTAGAGTCTACAAAGTCAATAGTGCTAAATGTTAATGGATTCTGCCCTCATCAATTGGGGGTATGGGAAGGTGGCTGGATCATTTTGAAACTTCATAAAAACTTCATAGACATCAAATATTGGGAGTTAACCGTGAAGAGGAGAAGGTTTAGAGACCCTCTAGATAAACTTTGCAAAGTTAGACTTCTCTCCTGGTTTACCTAAGACAAAGGATTCTCTGGGGGGAATACAGTAAATTTGAACTTTTGTGTGGCCCTTTTATTTGTACGTGTGTGTTTTAGCGAGCACCCTAGAATGGCAAATGTTTCCTCCTCGGTGGAACCATGTAGATTCAGAAAAAGCCATCTTCCATTGAGAAGACAATTGTCTTCTATAGAGACAAGAAACAAACGCCCATGACCCGGGTCACCTCCTCCCAGCAGGCTTTTGCTGCGGCTTCCTCTGAGCAAACACAACAAAGTCCGGAGCAGTCAATCCTGCTGCCCCACACTGGGCCCCTGCAGTTGTGCTTTGCTATTTACCCTTCCTATTAATCTGTCAATGTTCTAGTCAAACATGCAAAACAATATGGTGGGTGCATAGTTTGATTGGCCATTGCTAAGTAACTTGGGCCAAAGATGAAGAAATAGAACTTCCACCCAACAAAATGTGAGGCCCAATTTGTAAGAAAATGTTCAACAATACCAGTGCATGACAATTTTTCAGGGTGGCTGTGATTTAGCATCCCCCTCACCAGAAAAGAGGGGTCCCTATAAATGACATTCAGCTCTAGAATCTAAAAATTCAGGTCATGTTGCTGCCCCTACCACTGTGGGATAAGACTGTCTGGGAGTTTTGTAGAAGAAGGTGCTTGTTAATGAACAGAGGGATTTAGTCTGGTACACAGGTGAGCCCCTGGCTAAAAACTGAAACATTCTTTGAACTGAAAAATGAGAGTCCTTGTTTCAACACTCTCTGAAATATGTGTATGCTACAATTTATAGCTCAATAGTTCCAAAATGTAATCCAAATTATCAAACATTATGAAACATATAGATAACGAGTAGCTCATTTCTTCACTCCACTTCCTCTTCTGCTAGCCCAGATGAAGCCTCAGAATCCTTCTCAACACAAAGGTCTAAGTAGCCACTCCCACTCCACTGGAATTAGTACAAAATATGGAACCTATTTGTCATTCTAGCCAGTCCTTGAGCCTCGAATGAACAAATGTATCAGAATATAAGATGTGTAGATGATAAAAAAAAAAAATTGTCCCCTACTAGTACTACAGAACATGCATTTTTCCCGCTGTGTGTTTTCAGAAACCAGATAGAATGGCAAGAGTAGCTAGCTTTTATGAATCTGGGGTACCAGGACCTAGTACAGCAAAGGGAAAGAAAAGATGGATATTGCAGTTAGGTTGACTTAGGGTCAAATTCCCTCGTTTACTATTTACTAGCTACTTGAGCTCTGGCAAGTATTTAACTGTTCTGAGATATGCTTGTTCATCTATAAAACAGAGAAAATAAAAATTTATCATGTATAAGTGAGGACTTCTCAACTCCCATCTCTGTTCCATTTTCTCTGATGATTTACTTCTCCACAGACCACAGGCAGCTGTGGGCTCATATCCTTGGCAGTTTTTGACCCAAGAGAAAAAGGAAACTTCTCTTCCCAGCCTGAGCTCAAACACTGATGGGAAGAATTCTGACCAGCTTGACTGAGGTTATGTGTCAACCTCTGGACTCCCACTCTGATTGGTCCAAACAAGGTCACACACCCAACCATAGCCAGGGTATTGTGGTTGGGCTACCCCTAGAGCCACTCGGTGGGAGTGGGTAAGAGTAGTTTCCCAAAAGAAGTGCTGAGTAGGGGGAATACTTTTCTGGGGTAGACAAAACAGTAAATACACACTCTGTGATGTCACAGAGTGAGAAGATTAAATAAAATAATCCATGTAAGGGACTTAGCACCTGGCACTTAGTAAACATTTCCATAAATAGCAACAAAGATGATGATAATTATTACTGTCATCATTATTATCAATCTCTAGTCTCAAAAGTTACAATAGTAGGGGCATTCACAGAAACATACCTAGTGTTTCACATCGAGATCATCACTTACAGATGTTAGTTTTAATCTGGCTACTTAGATTATATGCTCAAATAGCACTCAGTGAAATAAGTGAATACTTATTGTACACTTTTTGTATACTTTGTCTTACTTTTTGTACTTCAATTTGAATTCAACTAATAATTCAAATTATGGAGATTTCATTTTGCTCCAGCTCGCTGAAGTAAAGGATGAAAGTAAGAAACTGATTCACTCATGCATTTACTTGAGCTCTTATGTGCCAGGCACTGGGTTAGACACTGGGTGATACAGGGGAGCCAAAGTGATCAAGTCAGTTATAATAGAAGGGGCCAACTTTCCAGAAGGGAAGCTGGAGAGTAGTGAGAAGCACCATGGAGAACAATGAAACATAATAAGAGGGTGAAAAGCACAGAATGGACTTTAGGTAGAGGCAGGCCCTCTGAGGAAGGGACATCTGGGCAGACATTTGAACAAATTAAAGGGAACAGCCTTGAAGGGGATAGCATTCTACACTGAGGGAACAGTGAGTACTGAGTCTGGAGTGTGACAGTGTGGCCAGAGCAGAGTGAGCAGGTGAAGGGGATAGGAAGTGATGTTAAACAACTTGCCCACCCTGTCCCCCCAGGATGTATATGTCCTAATCCCCAGAACCTGAGAAAATGTGACCTTGCATGGCAAGAGGGACTCCACAGATGTGATTAAGTTAAGGACATTGTGATGGGACATTATCCTAGATTATCCATGTGGGCCCAGTGTAATCACAAGGGCCCTTAAATGGTTAAAAATGGAGGTAAAAGAGGAGGTTAGAGTAATGTGATATAAGGAAGACTCATTCTGATGTTACTGGCTTTGAAGATGGAATAAAAGTGACACAAGGCACAAAATGCAAGTAGCCTCTAAAAGTTGGAAAAGGCCAGGAAATAGAAAGTCTCCTAAAGTCTTCAGAAAGGAATGTAACCTTGCCAACACCTTGATTTTAACCCAGTAAGACCCATGGCAGACTTAGGACATACAGAACTGTAAAATAATAAATTTGTAGTTTCAAGCCACTAAGTTTGTGGTGATTTGTTACAGCAGCAATAGAAAACTATATGGTATCATTCTCAACATTACCAGAAAGTTAGTTTCTATCTTGAAAAACTTGTCAGGAACAACATCAGTTACTTTAAAGTGCATGCACATGCCCTACTCTAATGGTCTGGGGTCACCTTACAAATACACAAAAGAAAGAATGGTAAAGGAAACATGGGCTGTGTCTCCGGGTTTTCCTAGCTGAGGCATAATGTATCCCTAGGCTGGCAAATATATATATATATATTTTATAAGGGCATGTAAAATTATGCTATAATTCACAATAATGTGGATAAATATGGAAACTGAGAAAATGTTCCAAAATATAACAAATGGCACCAAATCAAGAATCAAAATTATTGGTTGAAATGAAGCTAAAAAATATAAAAGTGTATTATTGCTCATACACTACCTGCATCCTCATTGCAAAGGGTCTGATATGTAGTCAGCAAGAGTGCTTCTTCTTCTCGCATTGCTCCATAGTATGTCACTTAGACATTCATTTGGTGAGTTCAACTCCCTATAAATGATGAATGGAGAAAGAAGAGCAGGTTTACAATGATGCAACAATGGGGAAATCTGACATTTTTAAGATGTTGAGCCATCCTAACTATGAACATATTTCTTTCCAGGGATTATCAATAAAATTTTATACTATTTTGTATAAAGCTCATGACCACCTTTTGTAAGATACAATCCTAGGTACTGTTGGTTTTTTGTTTGGTTGGTTTTGGTTGTTTTGCATTATAAATGATATCTTTCAAATTAAATTTTTTCTAATAATTTCCAGAGTATAGAAATGTGATTCAAGGAGTGCCTGGGTGGCTCAGTCATTAAGCAGCTGCCTTCGGCTCAGGTCGTGGTCCCAGGGTCCTGGGATGGAGCCCTGCATCGGGCTCCCTGCTCAGCAGGAAGCCTGCTTCTCCCTCTCCCACTCCCCCTGCTTGTATTCCCTCTCTCGCTGTGTCTCTCTCTGTCAAATAAATAAATAAAATTTAAAAAAAAAAAAAGAAAAAGAAATGTGATTCAATTTTATGCACTGTTTTTTAAAGATTTTATTTATTTATTTGACAGAGAGCATGAGGGGAGGGACAGAGGGAGAGGGAGAAGCAGGCTCCCCGCTGAGCAGGGTGCCCATCGTGGGGCTCAATCCCGGGACCCTGGGATCATGACCTGAGCTGAAGGCAGGCACTTAACCAACTGAGCCACCCAGGCTCCCCCAATTTTATACACTTTTAAAACAGCAAGCTAGTTCAACTATCATATTAATTCTGAATTATATGCCTGTAGATTATTTGGGATTTTTGACATGAACAATTGCATCACCCGCTAATAGTGACAGCGTTGTTTCTTCCTTTCAATTCTTTATACTTTAAATTTCTTATCTTATTTCACTAGCTGACATCTCTAAAATAGTGTTGAACAGCTGTGGTAATAGTGGACATCTGTGTTTTTCCCACAGACAGATTTATTATTTATTTACTAAAGCAAATAAATGTTGCTTGCACAGGCCCCTGTGAGCTCTAGGAATCATTAAGTTTTACAGAATATTGTAGGTAGAGAGGGAAAGCCTAGTGAAATTGAGAAACACTTTCAATAGATTGCTATAAAAGGTTTTAAAATGACAAAACCAAACGTACTCTTACCATATGATCCAGCACTCATGCTTCTTGGTATTTACTCAAAGAGGTTAAAAACAAAAACAAACAAACAACAACAACAAAAAAAAAAAGAGGTTAAAAACATGTCCATATGAAAACCTGCACATGGATGGATGTTTATAACAGCTTTGTTGATAATGGTCAAAACTTGGAAGCAAACAAGGTGTCCTTCAATAGGCAAGTGGTTTATTATAGTATGATATATCCAGAAAATGAAATATTATTCATCAATAAAAAGAATTAAACTATCAAGTCATGAAAAAACATGGAGGAACCTTAAATGTCTATTATTAAGGGAAAGAAAACCAATCTGAAAAGGCTACTTACTGAGATTTCAACTATATGCCCTACATATGACATTCTGGAACAGGCAAAACTATGGAGACAGTAAAAAGATAGTGGTCACCAGGGATTGGTGGGGATGGGATGAGTAGGCAGAGCACAGAGGATTTGGGGGGCAGTGAAAATGCTCTATATCATACCATCATGTTGGACACATGTCTTTATACATTTGTCCAAACCCATAGAACATACAACACCAAGAGTGAACCCTAATGGGAACCATAGACTTTGTGCGACAATGATGTGTCATTGTAGGTTCATTGATTAAAACAACTGCACAACTCAGGTGGAGGACATTGACCATGGGGGAGGCCAGGCTTTTGTGTGGTCAGGTATATCGGATATCTCTGTACCTACTTTCCAGTTCTGCTATGGACCTAAAACTACCAAAGACCTAAAGGTCTCAGAATGAAATGACCTAAATCTCTAAGTCTCTAATTTTTTGTGTGTTTAATTGTCATCTTCGTTTTGGTACATATTTTTTAATTATAGTATTGAGGCTTGAACTATGAAGTATTTCAATCAAAAGGAAGTTAAGACAGGAAATTGCATGCAAAGGTGCTGGAAAAGAAAAGAAGAGGTATGTGGAGTTGCAAAAAATTAGTGGAGGTGATATTGACACGTGAGAAGGTGTTAACCATCAGGGAATGGGGCTCCCAAAACAACATAAGCTTCAGCCTTTACAAAAGTTATATATGCCTGATTATTCCTGATGTAAACAGGAATTTATACAACATTTCTACCACCATATACAATGTTTGCTGTATTTTTTATTTACTTATTTATTCTTTGTAGATTGCTTTATCAGGTTAAATAAATTCCCTTCTATTTCCATTTTGCAAAGACTTTGGGGGGTTGGGGTGGGTTGTTTGTTTGCTGTTTAATTAGAAAGAAATGGTGAATTTTATTGAATGTCTTCTCTACATCTGGTAAGATGATCATTTTTTTCCTTTTAATTTGTTAAAATGATGTTACATTAATCAAATTTCCAATATTAAACCAACTGGACCTTCATGGAATAAAAACAACTTGGTCTTTTTAGCATATGGCTGGATTTTGTCTGTTAATATTTTGTCTTAATTTAGTTTTATTTCTTTAACGATCATGTTGAAATTGACTTTTTCCCCCCTTATAATGTCCTTACCTTGCTTTGTTATCAAGTTATGTAAGCCTCATAAAATGACTTGGAGAATATTCTCTTTTTCTGGTTGCTGACAGACTTTGCATAGGATTGAAACACCTGCCCCTTAAATATTTGGATGACTATATTGGTAAAACCATCTTCTTCTGATGTTTTTCCTGTGGGAAAATTTTTAACTACTCATTTATTTGATGATTATAGGGCTATTTATGTTTTCTATTTCTTTTGAGTCCATTTTGGTAAATTTTGTTTTTCTAAGAAACTTTTATTTTTTAACTTTCCAAATTTGACACTGAGGAGTATGTAATATCCACCTGTGTTTTTAATCTATTCAGTATATGTTCTTTTTATAATTCTTAATGTTATTTATATTGTATTTCTCTCTTTTTTCTTGACAAATCTTGCCAGAGGCTGATCAATTTTGTTATCCTTTTCAAAGAGCCAATTTTTACTTTTATTGATCCTATTTATATGTTTATTTTCTGATTTATTAATTTTTATTGTTTCTTTTAAATTATTGTCTTTTTTATGTATTTTGGGAGTTTATTCTGTTCTTAACTCATTGATACTCGGTTTTTAAAATATTTTATCCAGCATATTTGGTTAGTTTAGATAATAATACGGGATAATTAGTCTACAGTTTCCTTAGAAATAGAAAACCCTTATTATATATTTCAACTTATCTTTATTAATATCTTTAATAATTAAATTTTGTACTCTTATTTGGCATCCAATTAGTTAATTCAACATGATCTATACTGTGGAACTTCTAATTCTTTAAAACATTGAAAGAACTCATTTGTAAAACTGGGCTCAGAACCTTTTTCAGAGTTAATTATCTGAAAACATCTTGCATTTTCGTCATGGCTGCTGTTCTAGCTAGGTCTTCCATCTCCTTTTGAGTTAATTTTAATTATTTTGCCTATTAATACAATATAATAATTTTGTTGAGGCTTTTGGATGTATCACCACAAAATTCTACATAGTGTTTTCTTATATTTTTTTTTTTAAGATTTTATTTATTTGAGAGAGAGAGAATGAGACATAGAGAGCATGAGAGGGAAGAGAGTCAGAGGGAGAAGCAGACTCCCTGCTGAGCAAGGAGCCCAATGTGCGACTCGATCCCGGGACTCCAGGATCATGACCTGAGCCGAAGGCGGTCGCTTAACCAACTGAGCCACCCAGGGTCCCATTATATTTTAAATCTTTACGTGTACTATAGCAAGAGGAAACTGGTTTATCCATTCTATTTCCTTGGAATTATAGGTATAGTAGCTTCTATTCCACTTCTCAAGAGAAAATTTAGAAACAAACACCCCTCCCCTCAAGAAATAATTGGGCTAAATTTACCAGTAGTTACACAATTTAAAAAATAATAAGGGGGGGGGCCTGGGTGGCTCAGTTGTTGGGCATCTGCCTTCGGCTCAGGTCATGATCCCAGGGTCCTGGGATCGAGTCCCGCATCAGGCTCCCTGCTCAACGGGAAGCCTGTTTCTCCCTCTCCCACTCCCCCTGCTTGTGTTCC